CGCCTGCACAGCCCAGGTGAGTCGGGCCGCGGCCAGGGCCAGGGTTCGAGGCTGGGGAGGCGGCGGGGCGCGGGCAGGTGCCCGGGGTCGGAGGGAGGAGACCCCGTGAGGTACAGACCCGACCCCCCCCCGCCCCGCCCCGGTCCTGCGGCGGTCGGCAGGCCTGTCCGAGTGCTTCCAGGTGAATGGCGCTGACTACCGAGGCCACCAGAACCACACGGGCCCGCGCGGGGCCGGCCGCCCGTGCCTCTTCTGGGACCAGACGCAGCAGCACAGCTACAGCAGCGCCAGCGACCCGCAGGGCCGCTGGGGGCTGGGCGCGCACAACTTCTGCCGGTGAGGGGCGGGGCCGTGCGGTGGGTGTGGCCTTGCGGTGGGCGGGGCGGCCTTGGTGGGTGTGGCCTTTGCAGTGGGGGGCATGTGGTGGGTGGACCGCGTGGTGGGTGTGGCCTGCATGGTGGGCGGGGCGGAGGGCTGCGCGCGCGCCAGCGCGGGGTCCGCCTGGGACAACTTAAGGTTGCGGGCCCCCTCGTTGGCACTGGGATGGCGGGAGGTGCGCAGAACCCCTGGCACTACAGGTGTCAAGACTAAGGTGCCCGACTAAGGCAGAGCCTCAGACCGGAGCTAGAAGAGCCGGGCCTCGGCGGGTCCGTGCGCGCGGGCTGCGGTCAGCCTGAGCCTGGAGCGCGCAGGTCCAGCAGGAGGCCACCTCTCTACTGACCTGAGCAGCTCAGGGCCCTCCGCCTGCGCTTCCGGCGGGGTTTGGAGGACAGGGCCGGCCGAACAGGCCTAGCGCCGAGTTCTTACGGGCAGAATCAGAAACCTTAAAAAAACCACCCGAGACTCCGGGCTCTGCGGTGACTTCTGGGCCCGCCGTCGGAGGTCGGCGTTCAGAAGCCGGTGGAGACGAGGAGACCCGGCGCTGGGGGAAGAATCTGGCCTCCATCCGACGTGCTCCGCCCTGTCCACCTCCCTCCCACCCACAGGAACCCGGACGGTGACGTCCAGCCGTGGTGCTACGTGGCCGAGACGGAAGAGGGCATCTACTGGCGCTACTGCGACATCCCCACGTGCCACAGTGAGTGGACTCGAGCGGACGGAGGTGGGAGCGCCTTGTGTGGCCTCGGAGGGCGGGGCCTGACTCTGCTGCCCCCTCAGTGCCCGGGTACCTGGGCTGCTTCGTGGACTCGGGGGCGCCCCCAGCCCTCAGTGGGCCCAGCGGCACCTCCACGAAGCTCACGGTTCCGGTGTGCCTTCGCTTCTGCCGCATGAAGGGCTACCAGGTACTGCCCGCGGGGCCCCACGCCAGCGACCCCCGACTGCATCTCAGCACCCCACTCTCCGCACTCCGACGGCCAAACCCACACACTGACTTCCGCACCTGTGGCCCGCTTCCCCCTGCCCACCCCCTCCGACCCCGCCCCTCCCCGGAGACCCCTGCCGCCGGGCTCACTCGGTGTCTGCTCGCAGCTGGCGGGTGTGGAGGCTGGTTACGCCTGCTTCTGCGGCTCTGAAGGCGACCTGGCTCGGGGACGCCCGGCCCCCGCCACCGACTGTGACCAGATCTGTTTCGGACACCCAGGCCAGCTGTGCGGCGGCGATGGGCGGCTGGGCATCTACGAAGGTGAGCCCTGGGCAGGGACGGGGGAGGGGCAGGGGAGGGTCCCGACGCGCCCCGCCCTCACCGGGGGGGGGCTACGGGCAATCCCAGGGGCGGGTAGGGGACAGTGCTGAGCCCGGGGGCAGCACCGGGGAAGGCGCTGGGGCCTAAGGAAAGAGGCCGAGCCGACCTGGGGCCTCGCCGGGGCTCCGAGGGCTCCGCTGAGGATCTGTCCCCGGCCGCGGGGGCGCAGCCCCGCTGCCCCCGGGGGTGCTGACGGCCACCCGCCCGCAGTGTCCGTGGGCTCCTGCCAGGGAAACTGGACCGCTCCTCAGGGGGTCGTCTACTCCCCGGACTTCCCGGACGAGTACGGGCCGGATCGGAACTGCAGCTGGCTGCTGCGCCCGGCGGGGGCCGCGCTCGAGCTCACTTTCCGCCTCTTCGAGTTGGCCGACCCGCGGGACCGCCTGGAGCTGCGCGACGCGGGCTCCGGCAGCCTGCTCCGCGCCTTCGACGGCGCCCGCC